CCGGGGAGAGGCGCATGCCTTATCGGCTTCTACACAGTTAACACTTCATAATCCGTCAGTTCCCCCAGCATACATTTTTCTCCCATCGGCCCCTTGACCTATTTACTGCTAAGTTCATATGCTTGTCATTCCGAAAAGATATTTTTAAACGAGCGATACAATTCGTTAGTAATTTTTTTTTTATGCTAGCTCTGTAAAAATTAACGCGTGTGTTAAAATGTTACACACGTAGATATTATATACGCATTGGACTAAAACAACTTAGTGATAAACATTTATTGACATTGAATTTTCTAATTTATACGCTGATTATAAAGATTATACCCTAGATGAAAATATTTGAAAGGGAAAGTGAGCAACACATTGTATTGTTTTCAGTTCACTTTTCTTTTCGTAAATTCTAAGAAATGAGATAAAATGTTGGCGTATTATTGCAAAATCGTATTCGGAATCTGAAGTAATGTATGTAATATTTTTAAACAGCATACAAGGGTATTGTCACCAAAAACAGTACGCTTTTGCATGTTATTGACTTTTCCTGACAAGTTTTCATCGTCGAATTAACCGCGGCTTTGCAAACTAATGCTAAATTAAATTCGATAATCAATTTAAATATACGTTATTGCAGTGACGATTCAGAGTATGACGCGAAAACACGTATTTCCCACAATTTGCTTAGAACTTCGAAAATGAGCAAAAACTAGTATGATCGACACACCTACCCCCACTTCAACTCCAGGCTTAGATTTTTGAACTAATGTATCCACCCACTTGTCACTATGGCTACATGCCTTCTGGGAAGAATAATACTGATGCCAGTGACCCTATAAATACATGAATTAGATTGTAATTAATTAGCAATGTACTTTCCTAGAACAGAGAACATACAAACTCGAAAACTAATGATCTTGTTTACACAGAATGTTAAATATTTATAATCATTACCTATATCTACCATTTATTGTATAAACGATGTCTATGATATTAAGCGCAATGTCTAATACATCGACCATTGTTATTGTTATCGTTTGTTAACAGATGTCATCGTATACACCATCTTCATCGTCATCCTCAGTCATCGTCATCCTCACGCTCGCCGTCATAATCGTCATTATCATCAACATCGTCGTAATTATTAAGCGTTGATAATACGTTATATAAGTCAACCTACTATTATTATCACCATTATTATTATTTATTTATGTATTCATTATTATTGTAAATATAAATGATGTCTATAAAGTTGATATAAACGACTAGGAAAAATATGCATGCATAACTTATAATATTATTAGTGTTTTAAAAATTAATAATATTGTTATTATTATTATTATCATTATTATATTATTATCATCATTATCATTATTACTGTTATTATTATTAATATTATTATTATTATAATTATTAGTATTACAGTTATTATCATCATTATGTTTGTTATCATAAAGAAAACAGAATAGACAGAGCACAATGGTCTTAATAAAATAAAAAGAATTTCTTTTCATTGCATGACTTCTTTAAAAAACTGTTACAAACATCTAGGCTTTATATCTTGAAAGTTTCCACGAGCCTGTCATTGTGCGGTGAGAACGTTGGCGTTTTGCTCCTAAGAGGGAAATTACTTTAAATGCAATGTACTTAATGTTGTCGTGGGGACTTAAACGTAATGCTTGACATATCTGGCTAAAAAGAAAGCTTGTCGAAATGGAAAGGTTGTTCTAGTAAAGGGGCTTGGATAGTCAGACCAGCGGTGGCGCCAGAAATTTGCCGACAAGGTGTCCGACTTGTCCGACAGAGGGGTCTGAGCCAAGGGGCCGAAGAAGCCTTGGCTGACGGCCCGGAATAAAACCTGCTTTGTAGGGTTCACGGGGAGAGCTTTTATGGATTATTGTGGTCAAAAGTGTGCTTTAATTCACAATATTAGGGAATGGCAGTCGAAATAACGTTGTTTGGATAAGTAAATCATTTTTAAAAATGTTTGATCCAACGACCTAGTGCGTCGGACGTCAGGGGGTGCAGGCCTGTCCGACGGGGAAGGAAGGGGGTGGAGAAAAAATCCTTCCCTCCGCTGGCGCCACCACTGAGTCAGACATCCATATTATCACGTCAACTACAAGTATCTTTAAAAATGACGGTTCATACTTTTATACTGCGACATATTGTCATCATATTTATATGACTTGCTTTAGAGATCAATTTATCAAAGATGTTTTCTTCTCTGTTGAACAGCTTTTCTTTATTAACTTTCCATTGTATGCAATCATGCACAACTCATACCAGTTGGTCCTATCATATTAAGATTGTATTGCAGCCAAACGGTTATTAACGTTTGAGGGGGTAATTTAAAAAAATCATCCACTGAGGAATTTATACAACTGCTCGCATTAAATAGTTTCAAATTGGAAGTTGATGATTAAGTGAGAAGAGTGAACCTTTGCCTGATGACGCAAGCTTTTATTTTTCGCAGGGCGTGTTCCTCACGTTTTGCAGGGCATGTTCCTCACAAGGCCTCCTCGTAGATATGCCCCTAGCTGTTGTAACTCTTGATCCAATGACCGGGATAATAATGGGATATATAAGCGAACAGATGTCACGGAAATAATTATACGTATACTACCATTATCATCCGTTTTAAATTCACAATATACACGATGTATTTAATTTGAATACATCTTCTGTAATTAATGGACCAAAAATAAGAACAACAGCAATAAATAATAATTCGAGTTAGTAGTGAATAATCACCATTCCATTAACCATCAGTGATTAATTATCAATAATAGGCCTATAAAACATTAATAGTTAACTATTTACGTCCATATTCACATTGGCGATTGTTGGTAGATACACACACTAAACCTGTTGACAATATCAGAGAGTTGCTTACTAAATAACAGTGCAATCAGAGCAGTAAGTATTACTGACTACAAATCATAGTTTTGCTGATTAAAATCAAAGAATTGTTGACTACAATCCATAGTTTTGCTGACTAAAATCAAAGTGTTGCTGACTACAATAAGAGAATCACTTTTACTGACTAACTAAAATCAAAGTGTTACTGAACAAACTCAAATCGATATAGTGTTTGCAGTACCCTACTACTTGGGGATCGGATTCAACAATAGTTACCTAAGCGCAAGCTCTGTAGTCTAGTGGTTATGGCACCAGGCTAGTTATCTGGAGATCGTGGGTTCGTTTCCCACCCGAATCACTTGGGTACGATAAGTCAGGTAGGGAAAAACATCACTCCTCACTCCTACAATCAGAGTCTTACTGACTACAAGAATAGTTTTGCTGATTACAATCCGAGTGCCGCTGACTCAGTGGCGGGGTGGGGACCTTTCCCTCCCCAGAAAATTTTCCCCTCCCCAGATTTCAGACACAGGGGTCGCCACTGCTGATAAATATTGCATATTTTTAAATTTACTTGGATTATGCAAATAGCCCAAGAATGGAAACACAAGAGCTGACTAATAATGTGTATGATGAAAATGCTGATTATTCATGGACGTATCAACATTCAAACATCAGTAGATCCCAGTATTCAGGTAACATTTTAATTTTGGTATTCATACATTTTGCTTCCTCGATAATTCAAATGAGAAAATTTCAATTAAAAATATACTTAATATACTTTAGTAAGATTTTCACATCTCTCCGATTTGGGTAATGAAAAGCCAGCGTTGCAAAAGTGGGTCCAAAAAATTACAAGTAGGGATTTGGGTAACCACAATGATTGCCTTGAACTATAATGATGAGCTCCGAGATCATCATGGGAGAATACGGTCCTGTTAAAGGTCCTGCAATGGGTAATAGGTTTTCTTCTTTCGTTCAGTTGCTTTTCATGAAAAAAAATAAAAAGCGTGCAGTATGAAACGAGCTCTAGTAATGGTTGTGTGTATGTCAACTGTTCTACAGTAATGAAAGCCAAGCAGTGGTGTATATAGGAGTCTAGAAATGGAGTGGGGATAGCTCGCAAAACAAGGTGATATGAGGTGATTTTCAACTACTTCATATGTGAATACCTTCACTGGAAATGTTGGGAGAGAAAAAAAAAATTAAACCTACTTTAAAAACCTAATGAAATCATTTTAATGATTTTCAGTGACAACCAACTTTTTAATTGTAGACAGAAACTCAAAAACCGCCTCAATTTTTAGGTCCTGAGGTCGAATTGAACTGTAGTTAAATTAGATCACAACATTAAATTATCATTAAAACTGTTTCGAAAGTGGTACTATATTTTCAGATTGGAAACTCTTTGTATGTACCTTGCTTGTCATTTTTGGAGGCGTTGCGCTTGTTGGCATTATTTTGTGGTTTTGGCAATTACCAATCTATTAATGCCATTAAATTCAGCAGTGAACATATTTATCTACTGGTGGCGAATTCCAGAATTTTGAAGAGCTTACACACAAGCACTGTGTTTTCGCAGAAATACTGGCATTGTAGCATGAAAAAAGAAAAAAATCAAGGTTGTTCTGTCAACAGAAAACACAGCCATCCTTAATGCAGCATCACTACTTCTGAATTTACTACCATAGTGTTGAATAGTTCAAGTTTTAGTGTTGAATAGTTCAAGTTTTACAATTTTTCTTATAATATATTAAAATACCGGAAAATTAGTTATGTATACTGTATATATAACAATTAGGTTCATCTCGTCTTATGTAGACTACTCAAAATGGGTCATTAACAGCCCAACAAATATGAAGTTTTTTAAAGGATATTTAGAATGAACACTCTTTAATACATAAAACAGGATATGAAATTCAATATTAAAATACTGCACTCCTAAATTGTTGCAGGACCCTGTTATTTATTTGGTGATCCAATGTCTGACAACCGCTGGGCAAGCTTATAACAATCTGTTGTTTTGTTACTCATTGCTTCATTATGTTACGAAAGTGTTTTTATGATCTTATCTATTAATGTATATATGAATCCATTGTCGATGATATTACGAGGTGGAGCAACACTCACAATAAATGCAGAAGCAATTTATGTTGTTACTCAAGTTTTAATACATTTCAATGTTGATTTTGATAATTCAACAAGTCAATATAACCCAATATCAGTGCAACCTAAATGTTAACTCACAACGTCAACAAGATGTCTACCAAGACGACTACGAATACAAATCAATAAAAAATGATTTAATCCTTAGTCGATGTGCCTAAATATATAAATCAAAATAAAATAAATAAAATATCACAGTTAATTTTACTTTCTACATTTATATTATTAGGAGGAATCTCATAGAAATATTATTGAAAAAATATGTATCATGATTTTACAGTACTTACTTTTTACATCACTCATTATATCAAAATATGTTATGCTCACACATAGTGGAGCCTGATTAAGAGAAAAATCAGCTAGTAGGTCGCAGCTGGGAAATCATAAAATAAATTTTGTAATTAAGTAAGTCAGTTGTATGCAAGAGCTACAACACCACTTCATTAAAGTTTGATCCTTATTCATTCAATTTATGCAATCCTCTAACTGTGGGTAAAGTTGTTAAGACGCTCTTATGATGTCCTGACATCTCCTGTCACTTGTCAGGGGCATGCCTTGCCCCTCTAGCAAATGACAACCCTGTCCACAATTTATCACAAGTCAAATCAATTTGACAATAAATTCACAGAATTTCAAACTAAATTCAATAACACAGTATAACCAGTGTTTATATTTACTATGGTAACTAGAATGTAACCTATGATCTACAAACAGATGCCAAATTTAGATATTAATTGGCTAATTAATATTCATAAGTGTTACCATGGCAACAGAAAATTGAGCTGCAAATGGCACCAATGGTAAAGTAAAATTTGTCATATATTTTTTTAATCAAAATAATATCGATCAAATGGAAATGTTCAGAAGCAAGGTCATATCAAAAGGTATCAAATTTAAATAAACAATTTCTTTATTACTAAAATAAATATGTTTTCATTACATTGTACTAATATTTACGAATAGACTTTCTTAGATATGAAAAAAATTGTGAACACATCTCACTGTCACACCCATTTTGCTCATGTTTAGTGCAACTACTAAAGAATTTATAACAAAATTAAGTAATATATGAATGTAACATAAAAATAAATTTCAGCATACAGCTTTATTCATCAACTACATCATCCAGATTAATGCTGTCATCATACTCTATCGCCCTCTTTGTCCTTTTGCCTAAAAGGTCGCTCATGTTTTCCGGTGGATGTCCTTTTGGAATGGCAACTTTCACTCCTAAGTGCTCCTGGGAAATCAGAGTGCCTGCTGGGATTGCTTTAGCAGCAACAATGCTTTTCCCCAGCTATAAAGAAAAAAAAAATCCTTTTGCTGTGCTTGACTTTCTTATTATTAAAAGAAAATGATTTAAAAATAAGTTTTTGGATCACCAAATAGTGAATGTTTGAAGAAAACCAAAGTACTGTACGAAAAATTTTCACTTACTTTGTTAAACGTTGGACGCTCGCATTCTCTCATTTCCTTGACATGTGACCCAAATGCACGTTCTACAATCCGAATCTGTTTAATGAGTTCAGTCAACTCGTCAGGTTCTGAAAAAGAAAAGGAAAGTATACTTTTGCCAAATACAGTGTAGTCAAATAATATTTTGTTCCAAGAAACCATCTCCTATATATACGTATTTATACGTTCAATTTGAATACAAGGACATATATTTATTTCATATTAGGTGATAAGAATAAAAGATAAGTACATGAAAATCTTGCTAGAGGTTTTAATGAGTGTAATAGACAGCAGTATTCTAAGTTCTGTTGGCTACACCTGTGGTAATAATCACATGTGCACTGACTGAAGCATCTGGACTATTGTGCCCCTGCTGCCGCCGTTGTCGTCAATTTCATCACTGTCTATCCTCACCACCATCATTATCATCACCAATCATCCTTTCAATCTCATTTGCAACATTCTCCTCTTCTGCAACCTCTACATTACCTTCCTTTATATCCTCCTACTCGTTATCATTATTATCATCCTTATCATCCTTCGCATAATCACCATCCACATTATCAAAGGGTCCCATATTAACATTTTCTCTTAGTGGTCAAGCTTGTGTCATATTTTACTTATCCTTAAGGACGTAACAAGTTTAGCTTGAACTAACATTTTCTTTTTTTGCAAATCGTGAATTTGAACATGTACAGTGAAGATGTTTTGTACTGAAACAGAACAAAACAAACAAGTAACAATAAGATTGGATTATCTTTCAAAAGATGCTCCTCTTTGATATTACAATATCTCTTACGATATTTGTAAAAATAATGGTCATCACACCGACTACTTAATAGTATTTTACTTGTCCTTACATAATTTAGGTCGTTTTGGGCAATAGGACGACTGTAAACATAGGACCCTGTTATCAACATCTTCATCCTTATCATCAACATCTTCATTCTCATCATCAACAATATCTTCATCTTCATTCTCTTTCACAAAATTGAGACCAATCAGATATGTAAAATCTGCCACCACCACCAACAAAACAACCAAAATCAAATGCCACCTAATATTTTCTTTGAGGTAGGCTAGCACTTACCTAATGATGCTTCGTGGTCGTTGCCCTTCCATGTCTTGTCCATTGTGATGTGTCTCTCGACAACCTTAGCTCCCATTGCAACGGCGGCAAGGGTGATGGTCATTCCGCTCTCATGACCTGAATAGCCCACGGGAATATCTGGAAACTCCTTCCGATATACCTATTTACAAAAAGATGCTTTTTAAATTTTAATGCAATCTTGGAAATAACTCAAATCTGTATAACAATTTTTTAATATTTAATATATTTAAAGATATAATAATAAAGTTATAAACTACAGTATTGAGCATTAACTATATTATATATACTGTAATTTAATTTGTCTCAATACAGTAGTAAAAAGCTAAAACCAGTAACAATAAAAGCATAAAACATTCTAAAAGCAGGCTGAGATGGGATACATAACATTGACTCTGAAAATGCCAATAATAGCTGGGTAGGTACTGTATAAGCCTACAGTAGGCCTTATCCTGGTTTCTGAAGAATCGCTACACAGTCGCTACATTGTTTTCACTGCAATCCTTGCACTGCGTAGCTGTCCCTGACGTAATTGGGAACACTCCCTGATGCAACTGACCAATCAGCGTCGCCAAAGGAGGTGGCGACAGAGTGCAGCGATTCTTATGGAAACCCCAGGCTTTTCACAGAGTCTTGCTTGTGCTTCTTAAATAGGTGTAGATAGACCAGGTCTAGGACTTGTTATATTTAATTATTTTATTATTATTGTTAATATTCAATTATGAATAAATAAACAGACAAATAAATATATAAGCTTACATCCATAATTCGCAGGTGAACATCCTCTGGAGCTAACGGATAAGCACTTGTACATTGAAGGAAACAAAAATTTTCATTTATTGGTTTCACAGTATTGTATACCTGAAAGATATATGAAAGTAGAATATAGTATTTCCAATTAAAATTTCATTCAAGACCAGTTTCTATATTCTTTGCACTAGCTAGTAAATTAAGTGCTAATCAATTTAGGGATTTTGGGTCCCGGGTCTGAGTCCCGGTGGAGGCTGACCTTTGTTTTCTTTCTTTTTCAGATTCTTCTTCCTGAAATTTCAAAATATATCCACACACACATACGTCAAGAGATAATGCAAGATGGTTTAGGGCTTATCTTTTAATGTTTAATATTTCCTGTATTATTAAGGTATCTCTCCAGAGATCCTGTGTTGTCGTTTGGGATGCTTAAGACTGAAGGCATACAACATTGATATATATAATAGTTGTCTCAGGTTTCACGAGCGTTGGATACTTATGTGGTATTGGCATATACATGTAGTATGGAGTGTAAAATGAATTGCTTCCAATCAGATTCAAAACTTGATTGTTGAGAAGGGATTTTTAGGGGGAGTTTATTCGAGGGAGGCATATATTTGAGATAGGCGTTTTTTTGGGTGTAAAATGGATACACATAATTACCATCAAAATGTTTAATGTTTGCGTGATCATAAAGACTTATTGATTACAACCAGGTTAGAAAAAGTGAAATTCTACTGGAGTAGAAACTTAATGTGTTGAGAATGATGCTGATTTTGAAGAAAAAATCAATGCCCTGGGGTGTTCAATCGTGGGAGACCCTAACTCCAAATGAGGCTCTGAGGGGGGCGTTTATTCAAAGCGGAGTGTTAAATGAATAAAGATGGTATTACTGAATACATAAAATAGTATGGCAAATATTATATTATTATTTCTAATTTCTTGTATGAAGTGATAATTACTTTTTTCATTGTATCGAGTGTCTGCATTCCTGAGGAGATGATCATTGGTCGGCCCATCTTGGCACTCTTTGCCAGGAATGTTAAATTATTGGTGTCTCCTGAACCAATCTTGAAAAATGGAACATCTAATTCATTCAAGAATTCTTGTGCAGCCTGCAAAGAAAATAGAAAACTAATTAACAAATAATTATTGGCAATTAAATATTAATGTTTGTTTATTTCAGTTATATTTCATAATGTATGAAATAGAGATAGGAAAACAATTAGTAACAGGCACCTTAACTGCCAAGGCATTATACAAATCATTTACAAGTATGCAAATCATTTACAAATATGCAAATAGTTTACAAATATGGAAATGATTTACCAATATGGAAATGATTGACAAATATGGCTGCAAATCATTTACAATCATTTACAAATATGCACATAATTTACAAATATGCAAATCATTTACATATATGCATATCATTCACAAATACAGTGCACCATCCAATTCGAAACCCCTCTCCGAGACCACTTTTCCAACGACCCAAATAACAATCTTTAACCTTTTAACACAAAGCTGGCCCTTTAATTGGAGACCAACCCGAGACCACCCCAAGTTTTCAGGTCCCAAAGGTGGTCTCGAATTGGAGGGTGAACTGCAAATCATTTACTTCATCCATTCCTGAAGCTGTGAAGAATATGCCAATCTCCTCTGCATAAGCCTTCAGTTCTCTATATTGCTCATGGCTGAATTCCAGGAATCGCTTGTGCTCTCCATATGTCTTTCCCCAGGAATGCTTGGAAGTGTATGGCTTAGCTAATGCTGCCTTGTTGAATTTGAAGTCTAACTCGCTTTTCTGGAACTTGGCGCAGTCTGCTCCAGCATCCTGAGTAGATAAAAATAATGAAGGTAATAATATCAACAATTCTAACACGAATAATTGCAGCTATCTTAATGCTAAGTAATTACTATACTAATTTTAGAATGGGTGATATTAAATTTTAGCCTTGAGGCAAGGTTTGAAGACCAGCAAATCCCTATTCCCTGCTTGAAAAATATATAGTTTGTATTGTAACTGACATGACAATGGCTGTCTGTCTTCAAACACAGCCACCACTAAGTAAATGAATAGGCATCATATACAACTAATATAATATGATAAATATATTTTATCTATATTTAGCTAATAATAGGCTAGGCCTTGGCTAATGAATGCCAGTCAATTCGAGCCAATGCCAGTTCTAGTGGATGTCAGTTTGATCGGATGCCAGTTTGAGCGGATGCCAGTTTGAGCGGATGCCTTTAGTGCGAACTATAACAAGGACGAATTTATCGTCGCCCTATTCTTGTATTTGTTTGTTATAAATGCAAAAAATGCTCTGTGCATCAAAGTTCTGAAATGTTTTTTTGACAATTATTACATCCTACTACCAGATGACCGCTGCAAGCACTTATATACTTTAAAACTATAGAATTTTGCACGTTTCAGGTGAATTCACGGTTTTTGCCTCCAGTTTAATGGTTTTGTATTTAAAAAAGCAAATTATATTTGTAATTGAATTATATAGTGTTGATTTAGGCCTATATTTGTAAATGTAACTTTAATTGTAATTGTTATTTTCCTGGGCGACCCCACACCACGTTTTCTTTCGTGAGTCAAAATAGAATCTCTAAAAGTCGATCTCAGGGTTTTTGTTATGAAACACTACAGCCGGTAGAGAATTAACAGCAGGTAACTTTGATTTGGATTACTGACCACACTCCTTTTGGGCATACCACAACACACATCAGCAAGACCTAGGCCCTAGTAGGCCAGCTCTTTCTATTCTACAGTATTCTACCTAGGCCCTAAGAGGTAGCCTTGAAAATTGAAGCGTAGGCCAGGTGCTAGGCTAGGCCTCCTCCTAGGTAGGCCTAAAAATGCAAATTGTTAGCTCAAAAACAGGAAATCGTAATTTGTTCATAACTCGAAGAGGCCGTTGTTCGCACAAGTGGATTTTTTTCCGCTCGAACTAGAATCCGCTCGAATAAATTCTGCTCGAAACTGGCATTCGCTTGAAGTGGTATCCGCTCGAATTGACTGGTTCCCAGGCTAATGATAATATTATTATTAATAATTATTAATAACATGTAATTGTAGGCCCTACCTACTCATTGCTATTTCACTTTTGAACAAATAAAACGAAACCAACATACTCTACTAGGCCTAGTACTAGGCGGAGCCTTACCTAGCCTCACCGGATACTAACCTAGCCTAGTAGGGTGGGTAGGGCTATCTTTCTTCTGGTCAAGGCCTAGCCTAGGTCTACTCCTAGGGCTAGACCTAGTATCTTTCTATTATTATATGCCCAGGGTTGTAGCTGAAGAAAAATATTAAAACTAAAGGCCTTTTAAAAAAGGGTGGGTGATACATAGACATTTTTAGGTTGGGTGCATGATATTGATAACATTGGCAATCTAAACCAAAAGAGTGGATTTTAAGGATGGAAAAGTGGGTTAATAAGGGTGGGTGGAGGGCCATAAAATTAGCTTTAGACTGGGTGGAACTTCAAGGCTAGGTAGGTTCCCCCGCCCACCATAAATACCTCCCTGTAAGCAATTACATACACTGTACAGCCTCTGTCTGTACTGTAATGCTAGACACTGGCCTAGCCTACCTTTGCGACTTTAATCAGTTGTTTGGCGATTTTGATGTCACCTTGATGATTCTGACCAATTTCTGCAATGATAAAACAAGGATGATCCCCTCCGATTTTACGACCTGGAGCAAGCTCAAACGTCAGAGGCATGTTTAAGTAAGTGTTGGGCCTAAATGTGACCGATGTGAGAGCGGTTTCCAAGCAAACGTCCAGTCCGATCCCATACAACCAACACACGTCCACGCGGCGCGGCAGCGTTAAAAGACCGATTTGAAGTATGGCGTGAGCATTGAGCCGACTAAGAATGTCGTGTTGGATCGTTGGTTTCTCATCATTATCTTTCCATTGAAAGATAATGATGACAAAATCGTATCTCGTACGATACCATTGTGCCATCATCCGACCAATCAGAATTAGAATAGCATAAATGTAGCATGTGAGTGGATGCGATATTTATACTTTACAACATGTATGTTGTTTTTTCGGTTCACTTCGTCGCCACTCAAAACAAATGATAGTGTATTTAAACTTTCTGTTTTGAATGATGGCAAGTTGTGAAGTCTGATGAGAATCTGATTTCAGATTATTTGGTCCTAGTACTCTTACGTGTTTATCTGATATACATTTGATATTTGTAAAGTGCTACAGGCATCGTGCGAAATCTAGGTCTGTATTTACTTTCTGTCGTCCTACACACAACACACTCAGCTCAGGGAGGCGTGTCTGTTTGCTGAACTGATTTAGGCCTACAGTAAAAGTGGTTCGTCAACTAGCCTAGGCCTAGGTAGTAGTAGATATACCAAACTAGTGTTGTACCTGATCGATGGCCAAGGGAACGAGCAATTTATAATGAACTCAAAGAATGACCAACCAAACTCTGAGGAGAACAAGAGAGGGAAACGTCAAAGACATAATTCTATTAGAAAACCACGTAAGTAAAGCACTGTTTTTGCAATACAAACTTAGCCCAGCCAGGCTAGGCCTAGGTAGGGGGTCTAGTTATTAATAATCATGGAGGAATAATAATAATTATAATTTTTTTTTACTTGCATTTAATTTTATTTTTATGCTCTAAGTCAGTAGGTATTATTATGGAGAAGGAGTAAATTAATTTTACAATTTGCTTGACTTTGTCTTAAGATTATTCCTACATTTAATTAAATTTTTTATGCTTTAAGTTAAGTATGTTTTTAAAATAAGATGTTGGATAAAATTGATGTTTATTTATCCAATTTATCCAATAAAAAGAAAATCTTACTGGCTAGTTTGTCAGCCTGTTGTTTTGAGAAACAATCTTTTTTTTGGACTTTTACATTTTGCTTAGAACTGGAAACTTCAATATTTCAAAATATGGCTTAATTAATGAACAATTACACTATATGGCCTAAAAGTTACAATGTTTTATTGTTTAATTTATATAACCATAATAAAACTTGTTTGAATTGATTAGGTTCAGTGTTCCAATTAATATTTAATAAATAATACTGAAAAATGTATGACTTAATATTTATTAATCTTTATTTAAATATTCTGTAAAACATTTAATTAAGTGAATGCACAAAATATAAACAAAGATATCATTACTCTGTTTGACCAGCATAATTTGAAATTTGTCACTAACAATCTTTTCTTTTTATACAAGTTTGATAGTGATTCAAAACACAAACACAAAAATAGACTAAACTAAGAATTAACTTTTCTGTAATGTTTATTATGTGGAGAATTGTATTGGATCTAGAAATGAGCACTTGCTCCTTCTAGAATTTGTTTTAAATTTCTAGGTGAAAGTCACGCCATTATTGATGAACTGGTACCGGCACAATATTCCATTGAACTACCAGTATTTTAAACAGCAGTACACATGAAAATAACTCTTTATCTTTGTAATGTATAGATACAGGTAGTGGTAGCTTCCATATATTATCTTTAAGGCTATGATTGATCAGTTAGGAATATGCCATCATTACATTTTTTAATTCCTATAGAGTACCACAGTCGTGTCGTCACAACACCAGGTGGCGCCCTCGGGACGTTGGTTACCGTTCATTACGCCTTCAGGAATGACTTCATAATCTTAATGGTTTAGAATAGGCTTTCTGGAATAGGCATTTTAAAACCTAAATTTGCCATCAAAATGTACTAAAACACAAAAAACTTGCATTATATTAGTTATCGAACACACATTTAATCATCAATTATTAACATTTACAAAGAAAAATTAAGATACAACTTCTTAATAATTACGTTAGAAATTGGGATCAACGGTTTGTCAGTGGCGAAAATGGCATCGGTTGAAAGCATTTTTGTCGCCGATAGCAACGGAGTAGTATCATGTGGTATTGTGACGTAACACTGTAGCATAAGACCATTGTGTTGCTTGGGACTGTATAATGTGTACATATATAATTGTAAGTCTCTGTGTAATGCTGATTTTTCAAAGAAGCAAACTCCCAAAAGGTGTTTTGTTTTGATCTGATTCTTTGCAGCAAGGGATGGATATCCATTATTTCCTATTAAAACAAAAATATAAATATATACCTGAATAAGATTCCACATTAAGTTACCAATATTAAATTATTGTTAATTAGAAGTCATTTAAAAAAAAAAATCTCATTCCCATTAGGCGAGACTTTGGTTAAATGCTTGTATAAACTTATATGATTAGGAAGAAGTATACAATATATTCTGAGATTTCAAGGCAGCTGTGGGCGTAATAAATATAAAGTAAAATTTTCATTTTTTTTTTCTGAAATTTCCATTTTTCACTAAGAGCCAAAAATAAATTTTTATTTTTATTCGAAATCATCATTATTGACGTGTGGCGTGTTTGCGAATCAAAGTATAATAGTCTTGCCTAAAACTGTTAAAAAAAACCTGCATTGAGCTATAATTTGTAAGTTGCCTCTAATACTACTTTGTATTTACATTTATTTGCTTTTAACTGTTATTATCAATTAACAATACATTGCATAATACCATTCCCATAAAAATTTATTACCTGGTAGAATTCAACTTAACCTTATTTTTGTAGTTAAAAATAACAAAAAATGTTCATTAATGACTCGTATGGAGCTTATAAACTTGAGTATTCAACATATTTAAGAATTTTTGTAGTTAAGAACAGCAAAAACTTTTAATAACAACTCATATTGAGCTTATAAAATTGAATATTTAAAATTTTAGTTTCAACTGTATCAATAAAGATCATATTTCCTTACCAATTAAGAAATCATTTCATAAATAATTAGCATTCTCATAAAACTTTGATTGATTGGTTCTGTAATCATAACTAATTAAAACTGACTATGTACAAAAAAACTTAACAATTTTGATCAGTGCAAGAGAATGGCTTGTTTTGTGACCAACAAATTGTATTGCCGGTATACATGAGCTTTTGACCACTCCACAATGGTCTTAATACTTTCTTACTTGGTTGTAGAGACGAAAGCAAATCTTATACGCCCATACTCAGTAGTTGATTGGTCAGAGTCAGATGAAAGGTTGGTACAAACTGGGTGACTGATATGAGCTTTTTTTTTTTTTGCAAGAATGGATTTGAATTAGTTAACATAACAGAGTCAACCCTAACAACATTACGTGGCTATGTACTCCATTCATTTACCAAACGAATTGAAAAAGCATACTTCGGAATATTTTTATTAAATTGCTGCTTACAAATTTTAAGGGGATGGCCATGTGTTATCAAAGCAGTATTTAATTGAAAAAAACATTTGACAAGCAAATCCTTTAATCCTTAAAATATGTTGAAAGTCTGCACAGATTCTCCTATAAATTAACAAAGGTAACTTCAACTTCTTTAACAGCTCTGAATAATCAAAATCTCTTAGGTTGGGTATCAATTTAGTTACCGTTCTTTGAACATTCTCGATCAAAATTTTATCCATGTTAAACATCGGCCACCTGATGCAGATCACTATATGATAAAAAGCTTGTGCATTAATAAAAATTTGTTAGTCTTTAGTCTACTATTTACTTTTTATAACATACTGTTGTCATCCAGAGTTAAAAAATAGTCATACAGTATTGCAGGGATCTCGGTTTGGAAGAATAGCCAAATAGCTAAACACATCTTATTCTGGTAGATAATTGATAACACATATGCAAATATGGAGATAAGTTATGTTATTTTCTAGGAGATTCTTGCTTGCTCGCAGGAGTCCGGGAGGCCTTCCCAATTTCCGGGAGACTCCTGCGACTTCCGGGAGACTTGCGACCCCTGACATTGTGGCCTTTATTTATGACCTTACGCTTTTTTTCAAATGATAATTACCCAATTAATGAGTGTCATTACAGCATTTCCTGTAAATTAACGGAGCCATGGTGTAAAATTCTACAAAATATCAGTTGCTCGGAAAGTAATTTAGGATGGATACTTTAAAACTTTCAAGTAACTTAACAAGTTGTTTCTTGATACGTAAATGTATCAAGAAACAAATTTAAAAGACATTTTTAAGGGTGGGTTGGTAATAACATTGAAAAACTCTAAATAGTAAGAGTGGATTTTAAAGATGGAAAATGGGGAGGGTAGAAGGAGAAACACTTAAATTCCACCTCCGCTTACCATAACCACATCCCTGAAAGGTGTGATAAATACAGAATTATAAATGGCTTAAATCAAAATTAAAATGTAGATCTGTGTACCTTTAATAATATGTTAAAACACTTGACCTTTTCATTAATTTTGATAAAGACCGTATGGTATTTAAATAAAATTGTTTATGCATTTAACCTTCTATTAGATAAAAAAAAAAAAAATTGTGTTCGCCATGTTTTGAGAAAATCCACAAAAGTGTGTAGGTCAGTAGGAAAACTTTTTTTTTCATTTTACAACCAAATGTGTGTTTACGCCTAAAAAGTAGAAAATACACAAATTAAAGAGAAAAATTTTTGATTCGCATCGCGTACCATCCAGCAAAATAGGCTAGCCTTGGCTCCCTAGCCGACACAGTACATTTTTTTTTTTGGCCTTATTGAAATCATAAAACATTGCCATGTTTTTTCTGGTGGTAGCTCTAATACCTTGTGGCTTGCTCAAATACCCAAATGCATTGTCCCCTATTACTGTAGTTATGCCATTGTATCTTCATAATACCTATACTTTTGACTAAAAATTTGGTAATTTATAATAAGACTGCATAGTACTTGAATTAAGCATTAATTAAGAATGAGATCACAAAAGCAAAAACATATTTTTACTGGTGGTAGATCAAGCATTTAAATTTGGATTCCATCCTCATTGACCTCCAATTTAACTAAGGGCACATGAAAAAATTGATTAGATTATCACTCTTTAAAAAAAAAAAATGATGAGGTCGTTTTCTTTTTTTTTCTCTTGTTTTTTTAATCGGAATGATAGAATATTGCTTTTTTTTTATCGACGAGGGAGGGACTGTTTTTATTTGGCAAGAATAATATTGTAAATATTGTATAAAAACTGGTTTAACTTTTTTTTATTTTTTTAAAGAAAATGTTGTTTTTTGTATGCTGCTGAATAAATAATGTGGCAATAACAAAAAAATGTTATTCCCGAATCAGTATTTCCCAAATCTTTGATGCGGGCGGAAGTGATAATCTAACAATTTTTTCTATGATGCCCTAATACAGTACATCATAGTATGATATATTATACCATATATTACAAGAGTGATATTTTATAGCCACATTTATATTCCCATATTTATTTAAATTTTTCAAAATTATTAAAAAAATTGAGAAAAACAAAGAAAATTATATTCAAGTTTAAGTCTGTGAGTGCCATTTCCGGCCATAGATGCCATAATCATAAATGTTCTTACCTGAGCCCCAACCGTGGTATGGTGAGGCTAACGTAGTTTTGACTCCCTATCTGTGAAATTCTTTCCTTGGGTCCCCTCTATTTCAAATATTGCTGGATCAATCTCTGTTAATGTTATATATATATTACATATTCCTATGTACGTAGGAATATAGACCTACAATGAAATTAATTTGACTAGGTTTCAGCATAATTGAAGAAACAAGGAAAAATATATATTGATCAGCTTTACTACTACTTAATCCTATGATTGAATTATTAATTGGCGGCAGAGTGGTAAAAAGAGGTTCTTGATTGGTGTGTATAAGTGCAAGTAAGATTCTTTAACATTGACTAGATGACATTGAATAAATGAAGAGGTTACTGGGGTGAAATGGATCGTTTACAATGGATTGTGCTATTTTGATGAGGCATTTGTTATAGAGTATCTAATTTTGATTGTGCAATGCCAATAGTATGTGACGCATGTTAAACAATTTTGTTCAGGAGTTTCAATTGTATATGGACACTGTGTACTACCCATCAAAATGAAGAGATCTATAGTATTTGTGTAATACTTATATATTTACTCAATCTATTTTCTTCAGCTATGCCATGGTTTGGAGTAGACATCGGCGGAACTCTCGCAAAACTTGTTTATTTCGAGCCAACGGACGTGACCAGTCCCGAGGATGATCCAGAAATAGAGATGGACACGTTACAGAACATTCGGCATTACTTAACTTCAAATGTTGCCTATGGCGACACTGGTATACGAGACGTTCACCTTGAAATGAAGAATATACAAATTCTAGACCACGTAGGGTCTCTGCACTTTATACGTTTTCCAACGGCTAGTATGAATCTATTTTTAGAGATGGTTGATGTTAAAAATTTACGAAGCTTAGCAGACACAATTCACGCAACAGGGGGTGGTGCTTACAAATTTGAATCAGACTTTCATGAAGTAAGTAGTGTGTATTTTTTATTCTTATTTTAATAAATTTCCAGATCACATTTATAACAATCAAACAAAATAACTATACATTAAGTTGAAATGAAAAACTCTGGGCAAACAAATTACAGGTCTCTGCGATTGTCAAAAGTTTAAAAGAAACTTAAAGTGGCTCTCTATATTTGTAATTCCCATTAATATTTTACTAATCTTGCTCACCTTCACTTATTGGAAAGCATATTCCTATGTGCTGATTAAATTTAAATACAAATAATGTTAACATCGCATAATACTCAGTTTCTAAACACTTTCAACAAAAGTCCAATAGAAGTCGAATAAGAGAAACGAGAAAAGACAAAGAAAGAAGAATAAAAAATCATCAACGAAAAAACAAAAGAAAAACAACTTGACTTAAAGCCCCATTCCCGGCAAAATTTCACTAAAAATGACTTTTTTTAGAAAATATGCATTTGCATTACTCCAATTATTATAAATCATGGAATATTGGCATGAATTTTAGTTTTATGCAAAAGAATAAAAAAAATGAGAAATACAGACTATTTCTCATAAAATATTATCATTTTCTTGACGAATTCATCGTTACTAGGCAAATTCAGAGGTTGTAGATCGCATCCACTGGAATACTCTCGTTTTATGTATACCTTATACAGTCAATAAAGAGCGCCCTCTCTAATGAGATTACTTTTTGTACTTCGCATCTCGCACAATGCAGTCGTTCGGTTAGGCTGAGATATGTTTGTTTAAGTGTCAAAATCTCAGTCAGAATCAGTTTTTTAACAAAGTTGAAATAATTTCTATGAAATATTATATTTCACAAGTGTCAATACTAGCAACGGAAAATATCATGTCGGCCGTTTTTATGTGTGATAACAGAACCTAAATCGAGGTAAGGCTAGACCTAGCCAGCAGCGTTGGGTAGGCTAATGTTTTCGGCGCCTACGATATTTCTTCTCACGACCTATCGCAAAATC